CTGCTGTTCTTGAAAGCTTGCATTGCTTTTCAAACCATTTGATGTACAATGATTCTCTACTTAACACTGTTACGTAATTGATTGATGAAATTCTGGACCGAAGCATCTGCATGGGAAAAGAAACGAGAAGAAGCAAACTAATTTACAATGTAATATCGTCCAAAATATAATCGTTGGATAGGAGTGAAGTATAACACTTCAACAACAAACAAATCTATACAATAAAGAATTAAAAGCGAACTTGAATAAGACATTTTTTTCTGTTTTCACTGCATTTTTCTGAGGTACCGTATTATCAGTTTTTACAATACTTGGAGCAGGGCAACTAAGAAAAAATATTTGACCACGTGCCTGATGTTTAGGTGCTGGTAATTCAATGTCAAGGTATAGTTTTACTGAAAATAGGCAATCAATTACCCATTTAACCATAACATGTAAAATAACTTAATCTTTGATACACAGTGCAAAACAGTGAGATTTATATAATATAAAGGCATTTTTTATAGAGAACTGAAGCGGACCTGTTCAAAGATGAAAGCACAGATTATACTAAAGACAAGATCATTCAGTAATGTAAATGAAAGCTCATTTCCTCCTGGGACCAACTACATGCGTCTTTGGAGATTATGCATGTATCGAATTTTCCACCATCGAGCTATCTAAACAATTTCATGGAACGACTGCATAAATAAGCCCTGGTTAAATCTAGTACTGTCTGACGCCGTGACGTCAGACAATAACAATCTTGGCAGAGCGTTACACATGCTGACCATTCCCCTGCTGTTCTTGAAAGCTTTCATTGATTCTCAAAACATTTAATGTACAATTATTTTCTACTTAACACTGTTACGTAATTGATTGATGAAATTCTGAACTGAAGCATCTGGGAAAAGAAACAAGAAGATGCAAACTAATTTACAATGTAATATCGTCCAAAATATAATCGTTGGATAGGTAGTATAACACTTCAGCGACATACAAATCTATTTACACAATAGAGAATTAAAAGCGAACTTGAATAAGACATTTTTTCTGTTTTCACTGCATTTCTCTCAGGCACTGTATTATCAGTTTTTACAATACTTGGAGCAGGGCAACTAAAAGAAAAATATTTGACCACATGCCTAATGTTTAGGTACTAGTTATTCAATGTCAAGGTAAATTTTACTGAAAATAAGTAATCAATTATTTAACCAAAACATGTAAAATGATTAAACTTTGATACACAACACAAAACAGTGACATTTATATAAAAAGGCATTTTTTATAAAGAACTGAAGCGGACATGAAAGATGAAAGCACGGATTATACTAAAGAAAAGATCATTCAGTAATGTAAATAAAAGCTCATTTCCTCCTGGGAAGAACTACATGCGTCTTTGGAGATTATGCATGTATCGAAATTTCCACCATCAAACTATCTAAACAATTTCATGGAACGACTGCATAAATAAGCCCTGGTTAAATCTAGTACTGTCTGACGCCGTGACGTCAGACAACTAATCATTTTTTTTTTCAAACCAATATTCGAAAGAATTTTCGAAAGATTGAGGAAATTCAATTCTTTTGGTACACCATACACTTTATATTTAGGCAACAGCATGTTAAAATTACCTAAGCAATGCTTCTTACTCCGAATCATTTACCATTTGAATTTTGTTATTCTTTTTAATGAACATCAATGTTGGGAATTGAAAAGAAAATATTGGTGAAATTTGGAGCAGAGGGATATTTCACCTTCGAGAATTCTTTCAACATATTCAGAAAAAATGCTTTTAATGATTTTTTCCTTACAGAATGTTGGCAAAAAGACCTTATATATCTTGTGTATTGTTTGTTGTTGTTGTTGTTGGTTTTTTGATTGTTTTTGTGTTTGTTTGTTTGTTGTTTTTTTTTTTGCCTTGCTTTTTCATAGACATGCATGATGTTTCTATTGACAGGAACAAAGCCAAATACCGAATCATCCAAACCTGTCTTCACAGAATGTCCAGGATATCTAGGTAATTTCTATGTTGACACACATACATCACAAACAAACGTCACATGGCCAGAGGTGGTTGCAATTAGCGGAGATGGAAAACAAGTACAGTAAGTTTTTGAATTTTTTTTTTAGAAAAAATTATAATTCCAAATGTGCATCACAACTCTCTCTCTCTCTCTCTCTCTCTCTCTCTCTCTCTCTCTCTCTCTCTCTCTCTGTCTCTCTCTCTCTCTATATATATATATATATATATATATACATAAATGTATACACCTCAAAACTAGGGTGCAGCGTGTTTCCGGGCAAGAGAACGGTACTGAATTCAGTGTAGGTCTGCATGAAATCCTTTACAGAGCCACAGACTCATTCGGAAGTGACCATTGTTTGGTATTGTTTGCAGTAAGAAGTAAGTAGTAAGAAGTAATTATATTAATAAATATCTTTAATGTACATGTACCGGGTATGTATGATTTTTCAACAAACGACGTCTTAACTTTTAACATCTCGACATATGGATTAAGATACACATATCAGAAATGCAACTTGTTTTCACAACTGAATACATGTATATTTTTTTAAAAGGTCGCTGTAGTGATCTCCCTTCTCCAGACAATGGTTATTTCGAATGTACAAACGATTATGGAGAAGGTTCAGTGTGCATTTTGAAATGTTTGAACGAATTTAGACCAAATGTTTTGCAGCCAGTTTCCTGTGAAAAAACGTTGAACTGGTCTCAATCCGTGATTAACGAGAAATGCTATGGTAAGATTTATATCAGAAAACTTCGGAACCAACTATTACAAAATTAAACTAAAATTATCTGTTGAGATTGATTTTCATCTTTCAGATGTTTGTCGACCCTTCATTAGAAAATACCCTAGTAAAATAATTGCAATTATAAATTCAAACTCTTCTCGGATGAACGTCAGTTGGGATTTACCCTCAGCAACAGATAACGATGGAATTGCGTTTATAAATTGCTCTACAGGGCAGCAGTCCAATGGATTGTTACCGCTTGGTATATCAACCGTACACTGCGAAGTGTCAGATAGATCAGAAAATAAGGAACACTATCTACTTGATGTTAGTGTTAAACGTACGTTTTACAACTTACATTATCTATCTATGTATATTAAATGCATATTTAGTACCTAAATTTTTAAACAAAGTAGTATTGGAAAATAGTTGGCATATATTTGTTAAGATTAGTTCGATCTTTTTTTCAGAATGGACATGCCAGGAAATATTACAGAAAAATATTTGCAATTCATCTATAACAAATTGTTTTGATGTTTACCGTTGGCAATTATGCTTAGTGACAAACTGTGAAGATGGAGAAGTAGCTAAGATTCTGTGTCCTTCGCAGAACGTATCAAGTGATATGTGGAACGTACAGGAAACACAAAGCTTTTCATGCTCAGGTAAATGATTTTTAGCAATAATTCATACAGGACACACACGTTTAAATTTAATAGTAAAAAGAATGTAGACCTGTTCAAAAGTTATGACCAAGATAAATGTTTTCAAAAGTAGGTCAAACTCCGGGGTCAAGGTCAAAGGGTCAAGATTTTTTGTTTATGGCACAATAATACATGTGAAGTATGAAAACCCTAACTGTAACCGATCAAAAGTTATTGCCAAGGTTAAAGTCTTTAAAAAGAAGGCCAAACTCCAAGATCAAAGGGTCAAAGTTGTTGGTATCCAACAAAAGGTATTGTCACAAGGATTACTTATGGAGAGTTTGAAACCCTAACCCTTACAGTTTGAAAGTTATGGCCAAGGTTAAAGGTATCCAATGGAAGGTTTTGACACGAAGAATGCATACGTGAAGTATGAATGTCTTGGCCCTTACCATTCAAAAGTTATGGCCAAATAAAAGTTTTAGAGTAAAAGTGTGTCAAACTCCAAGGTCAATAGGTCAAATTTGGTGGTATTCAAGTGAAGGTCTTGTCACAAAGAATACACATGTCAAATATGAAGGTCAAGTTATGGGCAAAGTTAAAGTTTTTGCGGACAAACAGACAGACAGAGAGAGAGGGATGGACACGACAAAAACGATATAACCCTAATTAGTCAGCCCCCGGGCTGACTAGTTACGTTAGGATGAAACTGCAAGTGCGCTTGCGTTAATCGGAATTCTGGGAAAAAGATTTGCACAATTTTTTCCAACCAGAGGGCGTGCTTCTACACGCACACACAACCGCGATCTATTTATAGACTGCATTGTTCTTCGTCGTTCTCGACGAAAATTTATGACATAGACTATTCAGCTTCTAGATGGGATATTTGTCAGTTTTTAAATGATACTATGAAAATATTTCTTTGCTTCTAATAGATGATAAGTACATTTATTCCCTCAATCGCCATTGCAAGCCGAAGATTTAAATTGTGTATTCCTCTGGATGCCTGATGCTAGACTCCCTCGATCAGTATTCAATGCCTTGCATAAGACATGTACTGGTCGGAATTCACACAACAATCCACTTGCCACAAAGGTCCCAAAATAGTGAAAAAAAAGATCAATTTCCCTTCACTCTAATGATGGAAGTTATGAAAACATCAGCTAGAAGACCACTGTAAGACAGAAAATTCTTATAATTTAAGGGGGATGTACGGCCACCTTTAATGCTGTGAGAACAAAATGTAAACATTTCTTCAGATGGCTAAAATACATCATATTTTGATCAAATTTAAAGTCCTTATGATAAAGATACAATAAATATGCATAACTGAATGCATGTTGTGCATATATAATCTATACTTTTGCAGAAAAATGCTTTTGATATGCTCCTTAGAACTGCGCAGCTACAGAATTCAGCAGAGCCTTAAAAAATCCAAAAAAATATGCAAACTGTGCATCAATGTTCTCTCTACAACCATTTGTTGAGAAAATGTCTAAATTTTTCACTTTTAAATGATAATTTCAAGTTCAAAACAAGGTATCGTTGTCTTCAAAAAGAGTTTAAAGAACCATGAAAGTAGTTCATGCATAGCAGCACGTGGTCTATTTTTAGCACAGAATTTTGTTTTCCAGACCTCTTCTTAATATGGAGGGACATAACAATCTTTAAATGTAGAAGAGAATTAAAGTTGCAAAATATTTCAAATAGTATGAACACTTTTACAAGTTAAATTGATGCAAAGCATCAAATCGGCCGCAAACAAAATTCTGCATTTCAAAAAGGAATTTCACAATTTAAATCAATTCATCTATGCTAGGAAAGCACACGATATTCAAAGCTGAAAAAGTGATCATTTTTATTTCAGAATAATTAAAAAAAAGATAAGTAGAAATTTTAGTGCCTGTGCTCTAAAAATGAATTTATCGATGTAATAAATTCAATGAGAAATGATAAGAATTTAGTTTCATCAAAATAAAGATGTAGGCCTCTTAATATGAACCACGTGCTAAAATACCCTGGATCTTTGTCACATGATAATGTCACTGGATTCTGCAGGATAGGCTATGCTGCAAGGCACGGTGCAAAATGTAGAGATATTATCCTTATGTCATTCGCAGCTGTAGCATATTCAAAACAATTTTTTTTACAAGTTGAACTTTTCAATTCTTATTAACCATGCACTTTTACAACGTCATTATTATCCGGAAAATTATGACGATATTCTTCCATATCTTACACACTCCCAAGTCGGGGAGTATCTATTGTAAACTCTTTTTGTATAACCATAAATTGTCAATTATCTGATGAGAAATGACAATGAAGTTGAAACATAATTAACAACAAATAATACTTAGTTTAAAGCCATTTTTAAAAATATTTTACTCATGGTTTTACACTTGTCATCATTCAAAATTATTTTACTGAACTAATACAAAAACTAGAGGTACTGTGAGCGATGAGCTCACTAAATGATACCCCCCGCCTCCCATATGGTTATAACTGGTGAAAAAGTCCATGTTTTCCTGTGGCCGGGAAACCCAAAATATGTGTCGGATCAAAAAGTAAAATAGGAGGTGCACAATGGCAACATGTAATAAAGATTCTGTGAAAGTTTCATCACATTTCATTCAGTGGTATGAGAGGAGTTGCGGATAAGAGATGGGTACCCCAAAGCGTAACAGACGGACGGACAGACAGACGGACGGACGGACGGACGGACGGAAATACCGATTACTATATACCCCCACTTTTCAAGCGGGGGGTATAATAACGTCTCATTTACCCATGTGCGCTTTCTAACACAACCACAAATAGATCGGCCACTGCTGCGGCCGATAAAAAGAGGAAATGTGTTATAGTATGGCTTGAAGTAATTTATTTAGTATTATTATCGAACAGTTGTTAAATAATGTACTTATTGATATCAAAGAAAAAAATCTTAAACTCTTTGATTCCAGGTAAGGAAAAATGAGCACCGTCAAAGTTAAGAATTAAGAGTTTGTAAGTTTGCCACAGATAACATATAATATATATCAAAATTTTAATTATCACCAATGAAACACAAAGAAATTAAACACATAAAATCGATATGAATGACATATTCGTTGACGGAAGAAAAAAAAAAAAACATGTAATGGGATGTAAAAAAAAAAAAAAAATTAGTCGGGCCATTTCTAGGCAGTAGATCGGGAGAGAGGGCAACCAAATATTTTTATAACAGATTGTCTTATAAGGCTAGTACATGTTCCATCACATACTTAGTAATGCAAAATTTTTTAATCTTTGGCACTATTTTGAAAAACAAACATAGGATTTTTTTTTGGGGGGGGGGGGGGTAGCCTCTCATTTCTTTTTGCGTGATAGACATAGCATATGCAGTGGACTTTTCTTCGCAAACATTGTGCTTGCTTCAAAATTTCAAAGAAACAACTCAATATATTTTATCAAGCTTCGTATGTTCAATGAGCGAGAGCTTACAATGTTGTCAACATAATGAGACATGATGCGTTTTTATGTCCAAACATTACTCCATACAATGTGTGGTTCATTGCAAACAATCTAGCTATTTATGTGAGGTGCCTGAAGGGAATCCTATAACTGCCTATTTTTTCTATCTAAGTGCTAAACAAAATAGACACATGTACCAACTTTTCGAATGTAAGACATGTAATTACAATTTGTTTTTCATGCACCGCATATTGTTTAACATTTTCAAATTAAATGCTAAGCATCCTCCTTGCAGTGCCCCATTTGAAAATAACTTCTATCGCCACAGAAAAAAGACCCGCCGTAATCACATATGTTTAGGACATGTTTTATCTTTTTTCTTGAGTTTTAATGAAACCAACAAATCATCAAGACTTGTTCCATGAAAAATTAAATATAATCATGGTAATAAACGCATCTATTCTCAGCAGATATATGCACATGCCAACCACGTGCTCAGTGGAATGATATTATCGAGGAAACTCGAGCTGTAAACAGAACAGTTTTTCCCGATTTGCTGGAGTGGGGTTAAAATCGCTTTTTTTTCATTAATCAGACGATGCAATGCAACAAATAAAAGTAGTAAGTAATATAACCTAATGATTATTACCTAGTAATTTCTTGTCTTGATGTTATTATGGTCGCATTTATTCTAAAACCAATGCTATTCGAACTCTGTGTGACAGAGGAATGGCGGACGAAATAAACACATGGCCTCAGGAAGACACCCATATGAAAAATCAAATTTTTAAGAATTATGGATAATGACAAGAAAAACGCGAAACAAATGGTTGTAGCCATATTATCAATGAATCAAACTAACACTAAATTCAATGCATTTTTCATCTCGTGAATGCTGTAGCTGCGCAGTTCTAACATGATTAATTTCCTCCTGATTAAAACAAAATAAACTTAATTATTAACTGATTTTGGTCTCTAATAGTAGGTAATTAGTGCATTAGCACTTTGAGTAACTTTGGGCTAGTTTAGTAGAGTATTAAGCGCATTCTTGGTATTTCTTATTTTACACCAGACTAGATCCAATATGGCTTGTACATCCCCCTTAAATGATGATAGACGTGTAAGTGCCGCTTGTGCACGTGAACCGCGCCCACATGTGAGACCACAGTGGAAATGCGATAGCTGAGAGAACTGTGCTGATTTATAGACTGGGTCAACACCCCCCCTCCCCCAATGAAAGGAGAGAGGGGGAATGAATTCCAGTTTTTTAATCTATAGTTTTGCTATGATGATAGACATCCTCAAAGACATTTTGTGTACATGTATACGCATACTGCATGTGTAAACATATTTAGAATTTGCATTTAAAATTGTTTTCTGTGGCGTTCATTACTTTTTTGGAAGCAATTCTTTTCTTTCCTAATAACACGAAAATGGATGCTCAAACTTAGAAATTAAATGAAATATAGATGCAGTATGCCCCCCCCCCCCCATGCATTGCCTCGAAATGCACACAAATGAAAACTGTTATTTAATAATATTTAAAAACGATCTAACACAAAGTCTACCTTCCTTTTATTCATCATAATCTGCATATCATTTTTATAGAATTTAACGTGATCTTAGTTGCCATGGTGGCTTTTGTTCATTTACCTGTATAAGATGAACTTTCTCTGATGTCTGCGCCGAAGAGAATTTATTGGAGATCATTGTAATGGTCACGATGCAGAATTAAAAAAAAATATTCTATGCTTTATTATTTATTATGTATGTGGCATTACGTTACAAATAAGAAAACAATAATTATTACAACTAATTTAAATTTTCTTACAATGGCATTTATTACATTTAAGGAACACAACATGATGGGTAGATCAAATCATAAACCATTACAAAACAAGAAAGAAACTTTCTGTATTCCAGTGGCTGACAATCAGCTTTTTTAAAAAAGCTAACCTTGTCTTCCATTTCGGGAGCATAAATAAAAGATATGCAGCACAAAAGTACATTAGCAAAAGTAAATGCTATGACACATTTTTTTTATCATTTCATAGGATTTTTGGTAAAACTTAAAAGCAGTAGCAGTTCAATTTTGATCGGAGGTAGAAGTAAACCGCATACAGCCGTTGTTCTGTTGTTTTGTTTTCGAGTAATGGAGATCAATGGAGAAGACGTTCTATTAATCAAGCAGGAGACGAATTCCGTAAACAAAGTTCTAATTATATCTTTATCTCAACATGATCTGCAGTACGACTTACACATTACATACCAAAAGTAAGTCTACAATAGTTGGAATAAATTTGCTACGATTTATATATTCTTTCTATTTAATCTACTACGGCTTAATCCACTCGTATAGGAAGAAATCAATGTACATATATGTTTTTATTTTCGGAAATATAACAGCAAGACGTTGCATATCAAAGGCAATGCTGTTGAAGAATGGAACACTTTAAGAGTGTTTATCAGCGTCAGTGGGGATACCTGGACCCTTAATATGAATCAGACCATCGGAAACACATTTCGCAGTTACGAAATGCAAGGGAATTCCTTATTTACTGATGAATATTATGCTGTGTTTGGACGTTCTCATTCCGTCGAATTTCCCTCAGATCAGAAAGGTAAAACGTCTTACATTCGTAATCTTGTAAAGAAATTTCTAAATAGATCTTTATGCATGATGTCAGATGTTTAATATGAATTAGACTTTTAGCACTTACGATTTCTGTTAATTTTTTTCACAGGGTTAGAAATTTGCGTTTTCCTTATAAAAGACGCGATTTCGGGAAATATTTTAAAATCTATGTGGCCAGAGGGAGTTTATTTTATAGATATCGAGTTTTCCACGCCCACTTATATTCAATTGCTGATAAATGGTAAGCCAATACAACACGCTTTTCTTTCATTTCAGCGCCAGCTGTTGGCAAAACTAAATTGATTTTAAACTTATTTGCTTGTAAAACTAGTCATTTTGTATTTTTTAGAGAGATTGAATAAGGAAAAATGATGTTGTGAAGATGTGAAGCTTTTTAAAACTATTCTCAAACTCATTTTTAATTCTTTGAGAGGATAAGTTTTTATATCTTACTTGTAGACAATATAATTTTATCATTCTTCGATCATGATTTGATATATGCCCATACAGGTAGCTAGATGTATTTTTACAAAGTTCATGGGTCAAATGTGACATTCATATATATTTCCATTTCTATTTGTTTTCTCTGTGATTTGTTTTGAAAATTAGTTGAGTTGATTTCTTTACCATTCTACTGAAATGTAAATTTCACCAATCGATAAGAGCTTGAGAGGCCTAATATGCATGTAATTCTCGTGCGGCTATGTCTGGGGCCTAATATGCCTGTACAGATCGTGTGTCTGTCTTTGTATTTGACGTCAGTTAGCGGGGACTATCGAAATGGACATGGGGGTTATATTTAAGGGGGCCGACTATAGTTTCCATTTCGCAATATTTCGTGCATCATTGTAAAAAGCGTATTTACTGTTTAATGCAACTTTTTTTGCTTAATTATTAAAATCAAACAAAATTAAGAAATTGTAGATATAAAAATGTAATTACAATTTGATATAACTGATTTTTCAACCGATTTTGCAACTGATAGGTAGGTAGACGTCGTTGCAGTGTGTTTTTGACGTTATGATAATCTGTAGCTCCTAAAGAAAGGAGTAATAAAAATATTATTAAAGAAAAAGTAATAAATATACGCTTTTGGAATTTAAAACATAGAAATTTGAAAATATCTCCAATATTTTTATTTTGTTTTCATATGAATCCATTGTGCACGTAATATTTTGTAATACTCTATAAAAATAGTAAAATTTGCTAAAGAACCATATGCGGTATATTGCATATATTTGCCCCCACAAAAGTCAAATTTTGAAAATTTCCTGAAATGTGCTGAATTCAATAAATTGTATGAGAAATATAAATTAACAGAAAATATTATTGTGTCAAAGCAGTGTATTCACAATTTTTGTTTTTATGACGTCACAAACTAGTCCGATTTCATATCCTTTTTCAGAAAGAGGACAAAATGGACAAAATTTCAACAACTTTAGCTTTAAAATTTATAGAGCGCAAGTTTGTTCAGGAACAATATTGACATATTTCATTGATATTATCATTCTACACATTATATCAAAATATTGATCCTGAACACACATGCGCTCGGTGACTTTTACTCAAAATATCGACGAAATATGTTCATTTTTCTGTAAAATTCATAAAAAACTAAAATTTACGTCATGTTTGTGACGTCATTACGTACATATTGCGTCATTACTTATGAAAATATTCAGTGCTTTGAAGTCAGCATATACTCCCCTATTTAAAAACTTAATTAAATATATCTCCATCAAAGTTTGATTTGGGGGGCAAATATTGGTTATTACCGAATCAAGTTCTTTTTGCATTTTGAGATGCCCCCTCTGGTGACAAGACGGTAGAATTTTGTGTTTCTTATATATATTGTATAATATAGTATTACTCATCAAATATTATAGTTTGAACAAAATGTCTATTGTAGTATTTGTATAATTTGCTTTAAAGTGCTAAAAATTGGCATTTTCTATATAATCTTATAGTAAATGTACCTGTATTTTGAGACACTCCCTCAAAAATACCTGGACGGTAGATTTCCCCCAAACTTTGCATGTACACTGAAGTTAATGTAAGTTATATAATGTATAAAAATGAAGAGTTTCGCTATTGTAGCTTTCACACAAGAAAACTATAGTCGGCCCCGTTAATAACAATGGAAATGTAAGGAATCATTGCCAAGATAGTAGAGTATACCTGGGACATCAACGAAAGATACGTGTAGCTGGAAAGGTGGGATAATTTTACGCATAACAGGCTTCACCCGTTATGCAAATTATCCCAAGTTTAAAACTCAATACGATTCGTAAACCGAATGTGTGCGTCATTTTCGATCGGACTCTCTCTATATCTGAGGACCCCTATATAACATAGTCACTATGCAGTGTAATCAGTCGACACCGGTGTAGACGGGCGTATGCTATTAAGCACTCGTTAGTGACCAAAAAGCATGTAACTACAACACTTCTTCTAATACAGTAGAGTAAGATACCAAAGAAGCAATAGTTGTACAGTTCAGTGCAGTATACAAGCTAACACATATACACGTAACTGCGATAAAATGTTAACAAAAGTTATGCAAGAAACCAGTACAAACACAGGTCGCCATTCCACATTGCTACCCGTGACAATAAATCAGTCGTATATAACGAATGCGAAGAGTATAACCTGGTGTTGATATCGCAAATAGTAATATCGAAATAGGTATGTTTATTTACGAGTCGTGTTCAGCTAACTAGATAGTACTTAAATATATTCATGGTTATGGTCCATAAATACATGAATGTATATATATGTATATATAAAACTGAGTAAAGGATGTACACTAGACAAAATTGCTAACGTACCACTTATTATTTTTTTCATTGTGAACTGAACATTTGTCTCATTGTTATAATTATAAATAATACGCCATTGCAATGGGTTTGACAAATCTCTTGGTGTCATGAAAGAACGCAAAAATGACCATCTTGTTTTAACATGCTTCTCTAGGATCAAATGCTGATACGGTGTAATTTTTCTGAATTTTTTATTCGTACAAACATAAAGAACAAAAAGTTATTATAAGAAAAAATATTATTTATCAAAAAATATGAAATAATATTATTATCCCTTCAAAGACGTATGGACACAATTTTTCATATTTTTTTAATGAAATGTTCAGGCTTTAGTTACATTGTATTATTGTAGCAATTTATGAATTAATAGATTTAAATGCTTTATTTTTGCTCAGGTAACATAATGATATATCAAATATATCATAAACAAGTTTGGAAAAGTAAAATAGTACTTTAATTCATTTGGTGATGCGTTAGCAATTTTGTTTAGTGTGTACGAATTTAAGCATCAGACATGTGAAATGCTAAAATGTTTTACGTTTAAAGAAAATGGATAAGGTTTAGTGTTTTTAGAAATTATTAAATTGCATAATTTGTTTATCCTTTTATTGACATTTTAAAGCTGAACACGACTTGTAAACAGGCAAACGCCATTTTTCGATAATATAGTACATGTATCTACGCAGTTGCATGTATGTGTGTATGACCCGTGCAACTGTTTGATTTCTTTGGTATCTTATTCTCTGCATTAGAGGTACACTTATTTTTTTGTCGCTCATGAGTGCTGTGTAGCATATTCCCCTCTACACTTGACGACTGATAAAACTGAACAGAGAATAAGCGGCTTTATATAGGGTCCCTTAGATAAAGTGAGTGAACCATCGAATTTGACTGACAATTTCTTTAACGAATCGTGTTCAGCTTTAATCAACTCGAATTTGGATATCAAAACACTTGCCTGAAGACGTGGCATTGAAATATAACAAAACTTATTTTTTTATTGTTTGAATAATAATTTGTGCTTTTGAAAATGGTAACTAGTATCAATATGTTTGTTTCGTTACTGACCATGTTTAATGACTTTAATTCAATTAAATGTGGGATAAATGTTATTTTCTCAAATATCAATTTATTTTTACTACCCCCCCCCCTTCCCTCGAAAAGAAAAAAACCCAAAGAGTTATGACTGGTAATAATTTCTTTTGATGATTGAAAAGTTGACAATCAGGGTATTAATACATCATATAGTAAATGCTTTATTTTGTATGTTTTTGTTGTGTGTATGATAGTTTATTCCATGAGTTAGATGTTTGAATACTAGACTTGGCTAACGAATCTTTAAAGAAAATATAAAAATATTACATGTAATCAGGATTACAATGAAATTCCTAAACTGTAATTAACTTATTTATCTAAAAATAGTTTACTCAAGATAACCGCTACTTTGTGAAAAATATTCCATTATGAGGGATGTTCCAATAATGACACTTGGCTGTTTCACCCAAATTTATTAATCTTTGGATTTTTATTCATCCATGCTCTTCAAAGTACTCACTCTTGGTCCGGTCAAATTTTTAGACGATCAGCTAAGGTACTGAAATATAAACTTTTTTATACTTCTCAATAGGGAAACCAATCACATACTGATAAATTGCAGACCAAAGGGCATTTCGTAATTTGTATCTTTTTCTAGATAGGTGTAATTTAAGTTTGGTGAACATAAAGAAGTTGCACGGATAGAGAACGGGGGTGTGGTAGGAAATTAACCTTTTCCACCTCCAAATACGCAGTCGCAATTGTAATCGCAGATGACCTTAAAAATATTTTTAATTTAGTGCCTTAATATGTCGTAATGATGATTAAGATCATAATGGTTAAATTCATTTTCCTTATAGTCAAATAATATATGACATGATATTCAGTTCATTTTTAAGAAGGGGAGCATACATACTGGCTTTAGGGGAAAATTCTATTCTATAATAGAATTTTCCTTCTTTTAAGGGTTACCCTAGATTGCGATTTACATTTGAATATCGTTAACCACAGCCAGCTATCTACGGAAGGGCGGGGTTCTTCTTTACAAGACTTCCCAGATTCCGTCACTTTCAAATTAAACCACTTCCCTTCTCATCTTAACCTAACTTTACTACAGACAATGTGAGATTCATACGTCTCAAATATGTTTATAACAAATTAACTTTCATGATAATATAGTCTTTTTTAAAACTGAAATTTGTGAATAATTTGCATTGATATGTTCCTTTAAACATGACTCATGTATTTAGATGACAACAACACATGTAGAGCCTCAAAGGAATGTTCATCATCAGATTGTAATTGTTCATCAGGCTTCAGTGGAGACCAGTGTGAGATACCACCCAATGTTTGTGTACCAGGCCTTTGTAAAAACCAGGGACATTGCAACGATACTGGAAACAATTCGTTCGAATGTTATTGCAGAAAGGGGTTTGAAGGTCTCTATTGTGAGAAAGAAACCAAGGAAGGTAGATATTTATAGTTCTTTTGCTATAATATATTTATAAAGATAAAACATATACCAATTGTTAAATACGAATCAAAATATAGAAAGATCACAGATAATTTAAAGTTTTAATTAGAAAAACTGTCACACTTGCTTTGGCATAGGTTTATGCAGGGCCTAAGAAATACTTCAGAAAAGAAATTAATAGCTACACAATTGAATCCTTAAGCATAAAACTATAAAAAGGGAAAACAATTTCTCTTTAGAATTGAATTCAAATCATGTAAAGTTTAATTGTTATGTTAAGCACGTTTTAGCTTTAGCTCACCTGAGCCTAAGGCTCAATTGAGCTTTTCTGAGCAATATTTGTGTTTGTCGTCGATCGTCGTTGTTAACTTTTCACATTTCATCTTCTCAAGAACCAACGGACCAATTTCAAACAATCTTACCACAAAGTATAGTTAAGTGAAGGAAATTCAA